CTTTTGGTACATTTTCTAAAAATGGTCCTATCCCCTGAGGGAAGAACTTTTCAGTGAATATATGCCAATGAGCACTTAATGAAGGGAAAACTATCAAAAACTTTGCAGCGCTTTCTCCTGTATATTTTCCATATGAAACAAAAGTGTACCGAATATTTCATCGTTGCCAAAATATGAAGGTCTTAGAGGGATCCACTGAAGTTTCACCTCCTAAGATGTACATTGTATAGCCTACATAGCACGCCCTTAGTCATGTTCTGTTTTGCACAGAATTGTTGAAATACATACAATCTTCACAAACCAACAAGTAAGTAAAACTCATTAAGTCAGAAAATCAATTCACATAGTACCCCTTTACTATAAACTAAATTTGAAATTTTAATATTTACTGAAATATCTATTAACTGAATTTTTTTCGTAATTAAATTTGGGTATTTCACGAGTATTTAACCTCCTTACATTAAAAAGCAGCTCTTCAGTAAGCTCGTTATCGCACATTAGAAATCATGGAAAAAAACATTTCAGGCTTTTGCTATTGAACTAAAAAGGGTGTTCCTTGTTCTTTTCCTGTTTATTTGTTTACAAGCAAAAAAAGAAGTAAAAAGCCAGGGTAAACGTTCTAAAATGTTGCGAAAATCTTTACATCTAAGATGGTTAGACATATGTAATACAAATGATATTTCTTTAAGAATGTTATCAGCTATATCTGACCAAAAACGTAGTTTCCTTCTCAAATTCTATACAAGTTCGTAGGTCTTCTAAAGTATTTCAAGTGCGTTTTAATCCTCGAACACTAGTGAAACAAGGAACTCTATGGCTTAGGGCATATTAACCTCACTTCGAAACACTTCCTTTACACTAAAGTTTACAAAAAACATTAAAAACTGCCATCGTCACGCTTGTAATTTTCATCAAAGTAAATTTTGCTATTGGTTCTTGCAAACTCCTGCAAGATAGCTTGTATTTTTTTTAAAGTAGAAGACGTAGCGATTCGAACACCAGCTGAAGGTTCGAAGTCTAATGAAATTCCCGTGATGTAAGCACTCCCCCTTCGACAATTGGTGGCGAAAGCCTAGGTTAACTTCCAAGAACATTTGGGGATATAACATTTCGCTTCATCCTAGAAACGATAGCGTGTATTGTATTGCGTGAGCAGCGCATTGATTTTTTTATTAGAAGTGGAAAATGTAGAGGGTTGGCTGGCTGGGTGGGTGGCAGACGAAATCGATTGCGAGGAGTGCATGGCTTGAGGGAGAGTGGGAGCGGGCCCACAGAGCGAGACTGAGAGGGCCCACGGATGGTGCCCTTCTAGGGCCCCCAAGAACCGATGTCCCTGTCAGCCAGTCCGGCCCCACCAGTTGCGGGTTTGGGCCCGTTGGTGGCCGGAGCAGGCCCTCCTTCGGCAGACTCTCTGCTCCTCACACTACGTAATAAGCCACATGCAAGAGTGTTTCGGGCTTTATTTCAATATCTACCTCTACGCGATTCCCCCAACGAGAATCCACAGCTGGAGCTGGCGCTGGCGCCTGGTGACGTGTTGCTGGTTAAGGGTGAAATGGATTCGGACGGCTTCTACCGGGCCGAGACCCTTGATGGTCGAACCGGCCTTGTGCCATCGAACTACGTGGAACGAGTGCCTGATTCCGTCCTACTCTGTAATGCTAGAGCTCCTTCACCGTCGTTTCCCCTTCATGTACCCCAACATCATTCCTCTATCACCCACGACTTCTCCGAACCCGACCATAGCCAGCTGCCTGACTCCGTTTGCCCCTATCCACCTGCAGACGTTTCTAAAGTTACTGTACAGGAAATCAAACCGAATGATAGTCCTCGAGGTCTGTTTTTTT